AACCTATAACCAACAATACAGACATTATGCCATCGCCTTGCACTTGGAGATCACATCTGCAGGAATGTGTGCATCAAGCATAGGTGACACTTCAAAAAATTATTGATTACATAAAAAAAAAGAATCCTCTGATCACATTTGATCGGTGGTAACAAATTGATTGCCAGAGCCACACAGGAGACTCTGATGGCTGGTTAAGAAAAAGGAATAAGACTAATTAATACAAAGTAAAAATCAAAATCAACAAGCAACTATAAACCAGAGACACACAACGGGGTGGGGGGTGCAGGGAGATGAAGGATTAGGGTCAAAATAAGGGAGGGTGCAATTGTATGGGGAATATAACCAAAATGAAAATGCATACTTTGTGCAAAAATGAAAAATGATGTAAGAGTTATATAAAATAAAATATTAAAAAATAAAATAAAAAGAAAGAAAAAGGAATAAAACAGCATTTATCCTGCCCTCCCTGTACTTTCTACCTTTTCTTTGTTTCAGAGTAATCTAATCATTAATGAAAGAAATTTCTTCTTTGTAGGAAAATTTCCGCTAATAAACACAGGAGCAATGTTAGAAATAGAAAATTACCTTGCAAGCCCTTAAATGAGATGATGGATCTAAAAAATATCATCAAGGAACAGAAACTCGTAGTGGAGGGATGAAGTCAAAACATCTGTCTCCACTCATACATCTCAGCATCACTTCAAGTAGGACAAGCAAGCCTGTGCTTTAGAACATGAAGCAGCAAGCAGTACCAAGAGCACACAGGACTGAGTTTTTGCTTAAAAATGGGACTTGAATAAAATTGAACTTCTAGATCATTATATTATCTCCTCTGTTTTTGAATTTTTAAAACTTTTCAAAACTTTTTTAACAAAGAAAATGTATAGACTTAAGGACTGTAGGTATTTAGGGTCTTGTTCTTACCATTTTGCTTTGCTTATCAATTATCTATAAACCATTCTGTTCAACTCATACTGAATTACTATTTTATTAAACATAATATATATCACTTATCACTTATTATACTATGATAATGGTGGTTTTTCTTGCCTGTTTCTACTGTGCTATGAATTTCACATGCACAGAATCCAGATAAATCTTTCATACTGTTTTATTTTCATATTCTTGGGCAAATGCATGACATAATATATATATTTAATAAATATCTGCCAAATGCCTAATATTATGGAGCAGGAAACAAAGCATAAGAAATATTGATAGAAAGAACTGCCTTTCCTTACCTCCCTTGGTAAGTGCTGTTACTTTAATCTCCCAAGCCTCCACCTCTTCTCAGACACAAACAGAATTCCTATCATGATGTGTTGCACACAATAGGTGCTTGATTTACTTAATACATTTTAAAGAGCTAGAAATTGCAACATTACAAAACCAGTACCATACAGAAGCATCTAGTGTGGAGATGCAGATCAATGAATAAAAGGTGACTTTCTGCATGGTTTAATTTTAGCCTAAAAGATTTACTATCTTGAGAACTTGTCAGAATAATTGAAAGAATTTTTGAAGTAAAATTTAAGAGATTAGCAGAAATAAGTGGCAAAAGCACATATTCTATTGGGTTTCAAACAATCCCCAAAAGCAATGCCTCATGTATGATAGTGTTCAATTGCTGTTCAGAACAGCTTCAAGGTAGAATAATACAGTGAGAAGTGTGTGAGAGATGAGTTACAGGTCTGGAAAAATGTGTGTACGACAGGTAGGCAGGTGATTGAGAGAGCTGGACTTCTGCTTTTGGAAATTACTGTTGCTCTAGATCATTCTTTCTCAATCTTGTTACTGCTGACATTTTGGGCTGAATGATTGTCTGTCATTTATTCTTTTATCTGAAACATGGTTTTCAAGTATGGAGAGATGCACATGAAAAAATTAAATTCTGCCTGTTTCCAACAAATTTTAAGAAATAGCTTTCTATTTCATTCACTTATTCAGATCCAGAGCAAACAGGCTTGACTAGACTTGATGGGAGTGGCCTGCTCTTGTCTGTGTAGAGATGGAAAATCAAAGACTAAATTGAGACACTAATTTCAGAATCAGAGGAGCAACATTAATGCTTAGGTTCAGGTTCTGGAGACAAAAAGAGATAAGAGATAAGGAGCCCAGGAATACTGAGTCAATGTAGGAACCAAAATCAGAACTGATAAGGAAAAAATGTTGTGCATGTAGCCATAAAGAAATAATGCTGAGTAGCCCTTCTTGCTCCTGGGTAGGGTTTAAAGGGTTTTAAAGACTCAGAACTAGGCCAGACTTTTTCCTCTCAGTTTTTAAAAGGTCATAAATATTGCTGTATTTTTAAGTCCAAACAAATATGAAATTTAATGGGATAAGGAAAATGTCTAAACTATTCTGAGTGAAAATAGATAGATCACAAAAATATTTCCTTTTTGGCCAACATTAGATTATGTATTTCTCCCAGAATGCATGGATGGTGTTTTGTATGGATTGATGATGATTTAATTCTCCTGTCCAGATAATATTGATAGCATGAAGAACCCACAGTGCACCACTTTGCAACTGGTACTGTGCACGCACCCAGAGGCATCCAGGTCAGAATGAATATTGATGGGGACACCAATGGTTCCTTCTGACTGTTGTTTTTATTTCTAACTTTCCTTTATTTTGACTTTACTAATATATTTTCTTTGTCAACAAATACTTTAATCTAGAAACTATAATATCCTTCTACAGGATTTTCAAAACTTGTAAATTTCTGAGGTTTAAAAAAATATTTGCTGTAGAAACACATGATAGAATGGAGCAAAAAAAAAAAAAAGTTATGGAAAACAAAGAACCACTCTTTTCTGGAAGAAGAATTGAATCTATCAAATTCCCTTTATATTTGTTACCAAATTATGTCTTCTACTAGATGATAAAAGTAATCAATTACTTTCATCCACTTTTTCAGATGTCTGGAAATAAATATTTTAGTTTCCTTTTGACTCTATTTTGAGGGATTATTCATTTATTTATCCTTATTTTAATCCTAGATCACTTAATTATAGTTATTCTTAAGGTCATCTTTTTTCCCCTTTCTTTAAACATACACTTGCTATATTTTGAATCACAGTATAGTTTGTTTAGCTTCTTCATTTATATTAACAGCTGACTGAACACCACCTAATACATCAATATGTAGCAATTTAAATCCCTATTAAAATTTTCCAATGCTAGATCCAACTGCCAATTTTCTTATTGAAAAAGTTCTGACATTTTCTTCCCATATCATCTAGTAGCTAAATAGATCAGACAGTTCCAGATGAAATTAAACATGGCATTTCTGTATTTTGGGTTACCTTTCATTGTTTGAAACAAAATCTAATAATTCTGAGGAGCTATCTGTTCCAAATCTTAAAGGTTATGATTTGCAAGGCATCAAGGTATTTCTTAAAATGTTTTCTCTGAGAGTGTGCCATAGTATCTAAAGTCTGTACTCGTGATTTGTGATTTCTATGATAGTTTAATATATACTATATTAATATATTGATATATACTATATATTTATATACTATACACTATATAGTATATATTTATATGCCATATAAATATACTGGACTAGAATAAAATTACATTATACCCTGTTATATGTATACCCCTATATATACTATATATTTATATACTATATACTATATATACTATATATCATATATTAACACAGAAAATACTAATATATAAAGTGATGTAAATATGGGTTGACATATTAATGGAATATAATACAAATATTGTGTCACTGAAAAAACAACTGCTTTAAATAGCTTATAAGACAAAGACCCTAAGATGATGGATGATTAACACAGAGTTGTGTGTGTGTGTGTGTGTGTGTGTGTGTGTGTTTGGGTATATTTTGGATTGTCAAAGTGAAAGAACTAGATAAGAATATGCTGCAAGAGAACTAAATTGGGGGTAACAAGGTATAAGGAAGTCTGAGTCACAGATGGGAAATGATGTCATCTGCCCTTTCTAATGTGTGAAAAATCCAGGATATGTAAATTTAATTTTCTCTATTCAGTAAGGTGTGCACAAGAGTTAAAGGAGTCTTTAAAAAATACAATTAAAACTTGAAATAATTTTTCTTTGTTTGCACCAATAATAGCTTAAATGGCTCTCTGTACTTCCAGGCAAATCATACACATGTTCATTGCTACATGTCTGGAGTTTTGATATTTGTAACTGCCCAAAATAAAATAATTAAATAGACTTTCCTTGTTCTTCCCAAGAAGAAATTCTTCTAAATATGGAAACCAATTCCAAAGAGAGCTTTCATTGTTGGGGAGGAAAAAGCATAGTTTATTAGTTAAGTTTTAAATGCTTTCATTTTTGTTAGCTTGTAAGAAAAAATGTTTATATAATATATAGAAAGTACTTGTCCTCACTGAGTTCTCAGTTGCCCAAATGCAGCGTCAGGAAGGATGCTAAGTACATCAGCACAGACTGTTCTCTTCCTTATCTCTTCCTTCCTGTGTCCCTGTGACTTCTTGTGCTTTCCAAAATGTATGAGGTAACCAATCATACCAATCATCGAAGAAAGGGTTTCTTTATTCATTGAAAAAACTCACCAAGCTTAAAATCAACCCAAAATAAATGAAAAAGCAAGTTGTAGACCAAGTATTAATATTTAGGAACTGGTAAGTCCCCAGCAATCCTAGTTCATGAATCATCAGTTATGCCACCTATAGAGAAAGCCAGTCCTAATGGATGCATTAAAATTTTGGCCAGCCAAAACAGGATAATCATTTGAATTCTGAAATATCAATCAGAGGGGATTTTTCTTATTTTATCATCAACTTGATCTGTTGAAGTGCTCTGTGTACTATTACTAGGTTATAAGAAGTTTCCTCCTAAGACATGAGAAAGAACAATGTAATTGTTGCTTAGCATTTTCTTTGGCTCATTTAAGGGAGAAATGTGGACATTGCAAGAGTAGAAATAGTTGGGATAGACAAAGGACTGGAATAAAATTACATTATATCCTGTTATTCTCCTAGGATCTCATGATTCCTTCAGTTTCTACATTGATGAAGCCTCTCCAGTAGGGCCTGAACAGCCAGAAACTGTCCAGAATTTTGTCTCTGTGTTTGGAACTGTGGCCAAAAAGCTGATGCGGAAATGGTTAGCCACTCAAACGATGAACTTTACTGGTCAGCTAGGAGCCGGGATTCGTTATTTTGATCTTCGAATTTCCACTAAGCCCAGAGACCCCGACAATGAGCTCTACTTTGCTCATGGTTTGTTCAGTGCCAAGGTCAACGAAGGCCTTGAGGAGATCAATGCGTTTCTCACAGATCACCGTAAGGAGGTTGTATTCTTGGACTTCAACCACTTTTATGGGATGCAGAAATACCACCATGAAAAACTGGTGCAAATGCTGAAAGATATCTATGGAAATAAAATGTGCCCAGCAATTTTTGCCCAGGAAGTTAGTCTAAAGTACCTCTGGGAGAAGGACTACCAAGTCTTGGTCTTCTACCACAGTCCAGTGGCTCTGGAAGTGCCCTTTCTCTGGCCCGGGCAGATGATGCCAGCACCCTGGGCCAACACCACAGACCCGGAAAAACTGATCCAGTTTCTTCAGGCATCTATCACTGAGAGAAGAAAGAAGGGTTCGTTTTTTATATCTCAGGTGGTGCTGACCCCCAAAGCCAGCACTGTGGTCAAAGGGGTGGCCAGTGGCCTCAGAGAAACCATCACAGAAAGGTAAGTGTCCTTAAGGTATTAGGGGAAAGTGTATAAGTAATTAACACAAATTCACAGAACTAGTTAGTGATGGAACTAAAATTCATATTTATGGCTATTAGTTTCCTAGGGTTGCTATAATAAAGTACCACAAACTGGGTGGTTTAAAACAAAAGAAATTTATTTTCTCTCAGTCCCAGAAGCTACAATCTGAAACCAAGCTGTTGATTGCATTGATTATTTCTGAGGGCTCTATAGGAGAATCTTTCCCATGCCTGTGTGTCCCTTTGTTTCTGGTGATGGTTGGAGGTTGTATCACCCCAATTCTGCCTCCATGTTCATGTAAAATTCTCCCTATGTATCTCCATTTTCTTTTCTCTTAAGACACTGGTCACATTGGATAAGGCCCACTCCCATGACCTCATCTTTACTTAATCATATCTACAAGCACCCAATTTCTAAAAAAGGGTATATTTAAGAAGAATTAGGGCTTCAATATATATTTCTGTAGGTCACAGATCAACCCATTGTATCATGTATTTTGGCTCCATGTCCAATTCTCTTTTCATAACACTTCTTCCACATTTGTGTAGCACCTCATAGATTATAAAACCTTTTTCCCACTGTTTACAGAGTCCTTTTACATACCCTGAGAATTAGATATTATCTAACAGATAATAACTGGGGCTCAGAGAAGACCACTTAGACAATAAGTGATGAAACAAAGCCATAAATCCCATTTTCCTTTACATTATACCTTGTAGAATCAGTCTCCAGAGAGTGGGCATTCCATTGGTTGAATCCAGCCATAATTGAAGAGTGGCATTTACCTACAAGGTGAATTTGACCGATCACCAAGGATCTTTGTAACTATTTCCCCTTAGGGTGATACAGCATGTAGAACTGTAAATAATATTTATTCTTTGTTGTTACAGTATTTGAAGATGCAAACATTGAAAACAATACCTATCAGGCTTTTTAATCTAACTTCAATTAAGATTTTAAATTACAGTATGGGGACAGAGCATAACATTTTGCTTCAGTTCAAGGTCTTTGTCAATAAAGACAAGAAGAGGAGGAGAGAAGATCTGGAGGGGAAATAATCATGGGTAGCTTTAGAGTATAATGTATTTGGTGGCGAATGGTAGGACAAAGAGGCTTGTATAGAGCAGAAACACACCTCCAAGAAAAACATTAGCCAGAAAACTTCATCTTGTGATCCTGGGAATGCTAGAAAATGACATTTGGCAATAGAGTGACTTACTCAGAGCCATACTGTAAATAATTGGCTCAGCATGAGGATAGATGGAGTGGAGAAAGAGAGTGTTTCAGGGGTGCTTGGAAGTATTTTAGTGAGCCAATATAAGCTAAACTGAGGAAGTGAGAAAACATAGAAGGAGACATATGTCATAGTGAAAATGAGGACAATTTGGTGACTAGTTAGCTTTATGACATGACTAGGAGACAAGAATTAAGGATAAAGTTTTTTCTTTAGAAGAAAATAGGTGATGAAGGTATTCACAGAGGCAAGAGACAAAGACACAGGAACTCAGGGAGGAAGTATGGAAGCTACAATGGGAAATGATAATTTATTTTTTTGCAGTGCTGCTGAATGTTTTATTTATTAATTTTTTAATAATAAATTTTATTTTTATATTCCCCATACAATTGCAACCCCCTTATTTAGACCCCAATCCCTCCCCTCCCACCCTCTACCCCCCATAGAGTGTCTCTGGTTCATAGTTTTTTGTTGATTTTGATTTTCACTTTCTTATAGTTATTCATTTTCCTGGTCCCTTATTTAAGTTTTCTAGATCCCTGCTATGAGTGAGACCATCTGGTATTTTTCTTTTTCTTTCTGGCTTATTTCGCTGAGCATGATCCCTTCCAGCTCCATCCATGTTGCTGCAAATTGCATGTGTTTATCTTTTTTGAATGCTGAGTAATATTCCATGGTATATATGTACCACATCTTCTTGATCCAGTCATCTATTTTTGGGCATTTGGGCTGTTTCCAAAGCTTAGCTATTGTAAATAGTGCTGCTATAAACATAGGGGTGCAGGTGTTCTTTGGAATTGATGTTTCTGTGTCCTTTGGGTAAATACCTAGGAGTGGAATTGCTGAATCATATGGGAGCTCTATGTTTAGTAGGTCCAGAAATCTCCACACAGCTCTCCATAGTGGCTGGACCAGTTTGCACTCCCACCAACAGTGCAGAAGAGTTCCTTTTTCTCCACACCCTCGCCAACATTTGTTGTTGCTAGTTTTTTTAATATGTGCCATTCTCACTGGAGTAAGATGGTATCTCATGGTAGTTTTGATTTGCATTTCCCTGATGACAAGTGATGTTGAACATCTTTTCATATGCCTGTTGGCCATTTGCATTTCTTCTTCAGAGAAGTTTCTTTTTAGCTCTTCTGACCATTTTTTGACTAGATTATTTTCTTTGTTGTTGTTGGACTCATCAGCTCTTTGCAGATTTTTGTGATCAGTCCTTTATCATTAGTGTTGTGTGCAAAAATGTTCTCCCAGTTGGTGGTGTTTCTCTTTCTTTTTGTTATTGTCTCTTTTGCTGTACAGAAGCTCTTTAATTTGATGTAGTCCCAGCTGTTTATCTTTGTCTTCTACTGGTTTTGAGGTTTTTTTGTTGTTCTTTTTCTAGATCTTTGAGCTTCGAGATTAGGTTGTTTCTTTGAGTTCTTTCTTGTTTCTTGATGTGAGCTTCTATTGCTATATATTTTCCTCTTATTACTGCTTTTGCTGCATCCCATACATTTAGGATATTGGTGTCCTCCTTGTCATTCAATTCAAAGAATTTTTTTAATTTCTTCTTTGATCTCCTCATTAGTCCAGTGGTCTTCCAGTAGTGTGGTTTTTAATCTCCATGAGGGAGGATAGTTCCTTGCCTTCTTTTTATGGTTTATTTCTAGTTTGATGCCTTAATGGTCAGAAAAGATGGTTGGTATGATTTCAATCTTGGTGTATCTGTTGATGTTTGTCTTGTGCCCCAGTATGTGATCGATCCTGGAGAATGATCCGTGTGTGCTTGAAAAAAATGTGTACTCCGTTTTTTTGGGGTTTAGTGTTCTATAGATGTCTGTTAAGCCCAAATGCTCTAGGTCCTTATTTAGAGCTTTAGTTTCTTTACTTATTTTTTGTCTTGTTGATCTATCCATTGTTGATAGTGGTGTGTTGAAGTCTCCCACTACGTATGTGTTTTCTCTGATGTTCTGTTTTCAGAGATGACAACAGTTGTCTGATATATTTTGGTGCTCCTTGGTTTGGTGAGTATATGTTAATGAGTGTTATTTCTTCTTGAAGTATTGTCCCCTTGATCATAATGTAGTGACCATTGGGGTCTCTTTTTATCTTTTTGAGTTTGATATCTGTTTTATCTGATATAAGTATAGCTGTTCCTGCTTTCTTTTTTGGTCCATTTGCTTGTAGGATTGTTTTCCATCCTTTAACTTTGAGTCTATTTTTATCTTTTGCAGCTAAATGTGTTTCCTGGAGACAGCAAAAGGTTGGGTTTTGTTTCTTAATCCAGGCTGCAACTCTGTGTCTTTTTATTGAAGAGTTTAGTCCATTTACATTTAGAGTTAATATTGATATGTTAGCATCTGTATTTGCCATTGTGTTTGTCTTTCCTTTGATTTTATTTATTTATTCTTTTAATAATTTTTTTTGGCCTTCTTTTGTTGTTATTCGTCCCTCTGAGGTTCTGGCTTTAGGACTCCTTGTAGTATTTTTTGGAGTGGGGGTTTAGTTGTAATAAAATTCCAGAGTTTCTGTTTGTCTGGGAAGGTCCTTATTCTTTCTTCAAAGAGAAAGGAGAGCTTTGCGGGATAGAGTGTTCTTGGTTGGCATCTGTTTTCTTGGAGTCTGTTGACTATGTCCCTCCACTCTCTCCTTGCCCATAGTGTTTCTTCAGAGAAGTCTGATGTCAGTCTGATTGGTTTCCCTTTGAATGTTATCTGTTTCTTCCCTCTTGTTAGTTTCATTATTTTTTCCTTGTCTTGGATTCTTGGGAGCTTTACTATTATGTGTCTTGCTGTATTTTTCCTTTCGTCATGGAAGTTTGGTGTTCTTCTTGCTTCTTGTATATCAATTTTCAGCTCCTTCTTCGCGTTTGGGAAGTTCTCTTCAATTATATCCATGAATATTTTCTCTGTTCCTACATCTCTCTCCTCTCCTTCTGGGATTCCTATAACTCTTATATTTCCTTTCCTCGTGGAGTCAGATAGTTCCCGAAGTCTTTCTTTGGTCTTTTTCCTTCGTACTTCTCTTTCCTTTTCTGTTTTGGTTCTTTTTATTTCTGTGTCTTCAAGAGTACTTATTCGTTCTTCCATTTCATCTATTCTGCTTTCATTGCTTTTCCCAGAGTTCTTTAGTTCCTCCATTAATTCTTTGATCTCCTGAATTTCTTTTGCTTCCCCCTTTAAGGACTCAATTTCATTCTTCTGCTCGTTGATAATTTTTTCATATCATTGTTTTCCTTTATGAGTTCTGTCACTTTTTTAATCATGGCAATTTTAAATTCTCTTTCTGGAAGGCTCAGAAGTTCTTCCAAGTTACTGTCGTTGCAATCTGGGGGGTGGTTTTCTTTTTGTAGTGTGCTTTTTTCCTGAGGATTTGTTAGGTTGCGTGTGGTTCTTCTACTCCCTACTGTCTGTTTTCTAATTTGTTGTATGCATTGGGACACTGTGTTGCTGGGACTGGCCGGCATCTTGGGTGAACTTCTCTGCTCCCCTCTGACTCCTCCGGGAGCCATCTGTCAGTTTCAAGCAGTCTTTACTGAAGAAAGGTCCCTGTTCTACAATGCCGATGTGGGGACACACTCCCCTGTGCACCTGGTCTGTCCCAGCGGTGGGTTCCCGCTCCCCCTCTGGGCTTGGACTGCAGGCCAGAGAGGGCCTGGCGCGGGCGAACTTCCCCCGCTCACCTCTGGCTCCTCAGGGTTTTTCTGCTGGTTTCAGGCAGTCTTTACTGAAGAAATGTCCCTGTTCTAAAATGGCGGTGC